TAAATAATTTAGACATTTTAAGTAAATTCCTTTCATATTGTCGAATAATTTTTTTAGCATTATCACTGAAACACGAAAGAAAATCACTATGTTGATGCATGTTTTTAATCCTGTCTAAGCTTTCGGCTTACATAAGCCATCATCAGAGATTACAAGTACATTACAATAAATTAAATAATTATATAACAAAGATGGTAATTTTTTGTTTTAGAATATTTTGCTTCCTGCGTTTCATATGCACGAATTTATCATTGCATAGAAATCTTCCATGTAAACAAAACAAACTATCATCGTTGTAATGTCCACATAATCATTCTAAAATAAAAAAATACTCTCTTTGTTATATAATTATTTAATTGTATTTTATTTTGGAAATACCACAGCTACAGGGAGGTTTGTCCCCCCATGCTTCACTGTCATGGTCGTTGTGGGAATTGATTATATTTTCTACGTAGCCAACACATGAGTAACTGACTTTGAAGATTTTTCTGTTGAATATTTTCTTCAAAGGATTGTTATTAATAAAGTGTCCGTCTATTAACTTAAAAAAATATTTGCCAATATTGATGTTGGATAACCTGCAGAATGGTGGGTTAAATCATATTATCTCCTTTTTTCTATTTTTAGATTTGTTAGGTGTATCGTTTCTCAGATTTTGTTGGTAATTTAACTCTTGTGTAAAATTACTTTTTCTAAGGGCCTTATTATATGTGGCTTTGTTTTCATTAAAAAAAATTTTGTTAGAAGATAACTTATTGATTCTGGTATTGACTATGCTAGGATTTTGTTTTAAAATTGATTTCGGGTGGTTAGAATGGACGTTGATATATATATGGGGGTTTGATATTGTTTATGAAACGGTTTGAAAGTATCACTGAAAAGATTACGTCTAGGAAGTTAACTGTTTTGAGGTTGGAAGATATATCGATTTTAAATCCCAGAAATTAAAAGTCCTTTATGATCTTTCTCGGATTTCAAATCGATATATCATATTCCTACTGCATTGACGTATCATATTTATGTAGTCAAAGAATCAAAAAGAAATTCACAAACCTTCTTCAGCTGTCTGTTGTAGTTGTAAACATTGCACGAGTCTCAGAACAAAACATTGAATAAAGGTTTCCGTTCGAAATGCCCAGAAGTTTAACAATTTCTATAGCATTTCTTCTTCTTCTTTGTTCTGTCTCTTCAGAACATGGACGATCATGGCTCTCCACAACTTCCATATTTTGGTAGCTTCTGGCTATATTTCTCATTTTATCATCCATCTTACACCCCGTTCTGCAATCATTCATATAAGTTCGACAGATCTCGAGATACTTGACAAAATCCAAAGAAGGATCTGTAATGTAACCAAGTATCTCGACTTCAGTCACTTTCTCACCGACGTAACATGGCTTCCCTCTATGTTTTCTACAAATATTTTCATGGAAACTGGTTGGGATTTTAAGCGTGCTACTAGATTGGAAACTAGTCCCCACCCTTTTACTTTTGAAATAGCTAGATGCAACTTTTCCCCGCATTTCCTAACTCGCTTCCGTTTTATTTCGATAACTACAATCTTCAAAAATTTAAATGCAACGTCAGTCGCCATCTTTTTTTGAATCCTGCTCCTTTTTTTGTCCTTTCTACAATATCTAATAATCCATTAAACTGAGTTTCATTTTTTACACGTTTTCAGATAATACATTCAGCCATCTTGGCAGCATTTGTAGTAAGAATCACTGAAAAACCCTTTGAGTTATTCAGCCAGAAAGACAACAGGTTTTCATTTTTTTGTTCCGACAAGTTGAGATGCAATAAGGCATCGAAACAAAAATGCATCTTTGTAGTGGGTAATTGTTTTTATTTGCATGTAAAAATAATAATTATTTCTCTACTCTTGCTATTGAGCCCTTTTTTGAATTAATACTGTGAACGTTAGAATTTACATTATTCTCGTTCTCATTACATCTATATATATATATATATATATATATATATATATATATGAATAAAACAGACCACGTTAAGATTCCATGTAATAAACTATTTCACCATAACCCTTTTAACAGGGTTCTGATAATCAGACTTTACTTCCAAAAGCTGAAATGAAAATGAAAAGAAATTCACACGTTTTTTACGGACTTCATCAAGTATACGCAAAGTTAACGAAGTGAGGAAGTGAGGGGGAGAGGATATGAGTGTGTCATATGTATCATTTTAGTTTCCTATTTTAACCCCAGTGTGTCGGCTGGATGTTGCTCAAATTTAACGCGCCTCGTCTCTAGATATAAGACCGACATTAAAGGAAGAAGCTACAACAACCCCAATCAATTACACGACAGGTTTCATTCAAATTCTTAGACGCTGTTAATTCGCGTTACTTTAACGTGCATATTTGGGAGGTTAAGGTTTGATAAATATCTAAATGTCTAAACAATCTACGAAGAAATTAATTTGAAATTCGGTGGAGTTTTGGGTATTTTCTATGAAACAGTCGATTGGAAAAATTCATAGACAGTACATTATATATATATATATATATATATATATATATATATATCGATTTAAAGAAAATGAATTTCTTTTGTATGACCATTTTTTTTTTTTTTTTTTTTCTTTTTTTTTGGACCTAGGTACCTTTCGGTCAACGCTTCATCAGGGTCTTTCGTTGGCAAATGATTTTAAACAAACAATGAAAATGAGAAGAACGCCAAAATGGTATGGTTGGAATACGTCTAAAATCTTACGAAGATATATATACGTAAAATTAAAATAAATTTACGATTAAAAATAAATGCGTAAATAATGAATTAATAATAATGAACCAACCTGAGCAGTAAGATAGGAAAATAAGTTGCTCATATGTCAAAAAATAAATTTAGCGATCGTGAAAAATTCTCCTTTTGTTTAGAAAGCGATGGTTTAAATAATTTGAGGCAGATTTTAGACGTGTTCCAACCATACCATTTTGGCGTTCTTCTCATTTTCATTGTTTGTTTAAAATCATTTGCCAACGAAAGACCCTGATGAAGCGTTGGCCGAAAGGCACCTAGGTCCTGCAAAAAAAAAAAAAAAAAAAAATGGTCATACAAAAGAAATTCATTTTCTTTAAATCGTTATATTTGTTTTGTGGTATCAAAAACATTACAATATATATATATATATATATATATATATATATATATATATATATATATATATATATATAAAATACCATCGAAAAAATATTACGTCTGAGGAAGTACCTTCGGACAATGAAATATAGTTGTTTTTTTTTTCCATTTTTCGTTCAACTACTACCTACATACATGGAGGCTTAAATATGTGACTATTGCATAGTATCAAAAACTTTATCGGGCACTTCCGCTATGAAAACTGCTAATATGTTATTCTGTATTTTCCTTCTATTATTCTTCCTTGTCTTTTTCTCCTCTCTGTTTCCTCTTAAGTTGTATCTCCCCATAGGTTTTTAAGGAAGGGACGTACCATAGGCGGCTTGTTTTTGAACAGATTTATCCGTAACCATTTTTAGCTCCCACAAATCGAGATGCACATAAGGCATCGAAACAAGAATGCATCTTTGTAGTGGGTAATTGTTTTTGTCCACATGTAAAAATCTATAATAATTAATTATTGCTCTACTCTTCGTATTGAGCCCTCTTTTGAATTAATGTTGTATACGTTAGAATTTTCATTATTCTCGTTCTCATGGATATATATTATATACAAGTATATAATTGGTATATACGGAATGAATTCCAATAACCAACAATTACTATTCTTAAAAGAGTGCTCAATACAAAGTAGAGCATATATATATATATATATAAAACTTTAATAATTATATATATATATATATATAAAATTTAATAATTATATATATATATATATATATATATATATATATATATATATATATATATATATAAATAAAAAACGGAAAAGAAAGGGAAAAAAAAAAAATATATATACATGTATTGTCAAATGACCGGATATATTGTAGCGTCTTGTCGAACGTAATTTCAATGAAGAAATAAATTGCATAAACATATATATTTTTTCTTTTCTCAATAATTTTCTAGTTTTTAAACTTAATAGTGATTAAATTTGGATTTTAAAATTGCCAGTTTTTAATTTTAATATTAAATTTTATCATATAATTTTATAATTATTGGTTAGTATAAATAATTTTAATATTACACGTATTTAAAGATCTGAATAGCTATTATAACATGATTTCGTTGTCAAGCTTTTGAATATTTCTATACTTCGTTTTTGATTGGTTATTCTAGCTTTTGTAACAATGTTTACCCCTAGTGTAGGATCGTTAATTAATCTGAAACTTTTAAAACCATTTATTTTATTTTCAACATCATCACTTGATAAGACACAGAGTGTGTTGAAACAAAATGGCTATTTTTGTAGTGATTTTATAACATACTTATGTTATAATTTTTTTATAAAAAATAATTATATATATATATATATAAGATAATACTAAGAAGACAGGCACTGACGATCCGTTTAGGTGACACCTAGGTAGGTTTGTCTGTCTCCTTAGTATTATCTTAGGTTTTGCTCTACTTCGTGTATTGAGCACTTTACGTAGTTGGCTTTTACTCGTTTTGGAGTTTTTTTTTCTTTGGACTTTGAGCTTGAACTCTGGACGATTGTTTTTGCCTTAGTTTGATGTTCTTGGTTCTTTCTTTTTTTTATTCCTCATTTTTCCTCTACTACAGATCGAACTATCCAAAGTTTTTCCAAGCGAGTACCACACTTTACATATATATATATATATATATGGGCAGCCAAATTTCATCCAAACATGTTTTGAAATTATTATGAATACTAGATAATGACTGAGATAGGAGAAAGTACTTGATCAGGACAGAGCAGTCATCTATCAGTGGGTGTTAGTTCGTCTTGATGGGAAATGTTTGCATGTGTTCCTTCCCCCTATGCACGTCAGTGTGTGTTTCTTTGTCGCCGTTTAGCCTCTGCCGATGACGTGACGGATGTTGTGGAAAGAGGTAATTTCAGAAGATGAGAGTGTCGCAGATTTCGAGTACTCTTACAAGACCGACTTGAAAATCATTAAGGAGTTCCGGTCGCCAAAAAAGAAAAAAAAAAAAGAAAAGAAAAATAGGATGCGAGGGTGTTCTTCTTCTTCTAATTAGGTTCAGAACGCCTGGAAGTGTTCGTAGCATGAGTGATTAAACGGACAGAGAAAGTGATCTCATATTTATGCATGTATATACGCGAAATACTGAAACATTATCGGCTCAACCAGTATCCCAGAAAATGACCAGTTGTTCAAACATCAGAATATTTTGTGAAGGTCGTCTTGGGCGGATCATCATCATCATCATCATTATCATCTATTATTATATATAGTAAACGTCCGGTTCACACTCCTCCGGGACTTTTTTTTTTTGAGTAGAGGTCTATCCCATGCTTTTTGTTTATGATTGAGTTTCCGGTTCCTTCTAAAGAGTTCTCATTTTTTTTTTTCACCCCATTCACCAACTGCTTTGCGTCTTAATGACTTTATCACCTTACTTCGGATAGATAAATTGATTTAAAAAAAATAAAACAAAAACAAGAAAAAAAAAAGAAACAATCAGCTCGTCATCGAGTACGACCATTTTTATTTCCTTGCCGATGATGACGTGTCTAATGGCTCATTAGTCAAGCGAATTTATCTTCACTTTAATCCACTTACCGCTCACTGCATTGGTGTCCTTATGTTGCGACTTGTAATACTGAGTCCACTCGCTGACCTGCACACTCACTATCTATCTATCTATCTATCTATCTATCTGAGTCTATTCATATCTATCTATCTCATTCATCATCTATTCATATCTATCTATCTATCTATCTGAGTCTATTCATATCTATCTATCTATCTATCTATCTATCTATCTATCTATCTATCTATCTATCTGAGTCTATTCATATCTATCTATCTGAGTCTATTCATATCTATCTATCTATCTATCTGAATCTATTCATATCTATCTATCTATCTATCTATCTATCTATCTATCTATCTATCTATCTATCTCAGTCTATTCATATCTATCTATCTATCTATCTATCTATCTATCTATCTATCTATCTGTGTGTGTGTGTGTGTGTGTGTGTGTGTATGTCTCCCTAACAAATCTACACCTTAAATTTATATTCCTAATAATTTGTCTTTGAAGTAAGATATATTTAATGAATGTGAAGGAAAGCACATTTATTTAGAACCTCCTATATAAACTTTCACCACATCTGGATTCTTGGTTGCAATAACAATTACTGACAAACAATTCGGCCCAATATTTTGACTCACCCATACAATAATTTCTCCTTAAATGTTTTTTTCCTACTGGTAAAATAGTAAAAAAAAATCTTTATTTAACATAAGCTTTGTTTTGTTTTTTTTTTTTACTTGATCCTCGTGTTAGGATAACAAATGACTTAAACGAAGATAAAAATACAACCGCAAAATGAGTTCAGTCAATTTCTACCCATCTCCATTATTAATAAGTTATCATTTCTAGAGATGAGTATCTGACCTTTCCATAAGTAATGTTTGAAATCTGATAGCAATACGCTGAATGATATTTTCGTTATTTTAAAAACATCTAACACTAATTTGTGTTTGTATGGATCAAAACGAGTAAGTAACTGCGTCGCGATACGATTTAACCCGCTGAGTACAATTCTAAAGACGGATGGGTTTACCGAACCCATATCATGATTTTATGAGTTTACAAAAGGCAATAAGAGGGTATCCACCAGACGAGGCTCTGCTGAAGGGCAGTCTCGTCTCGAGAAACTGATTCCGTTTTCACGTGGTCTATAGGGAATTTTTGCCCGAGCCTACGGGCTCGGATACTCCACTTTAAACTCGACCTTGTGCCACATTTTGCTGCGTAGGGCAGCGGGTAAATAATTATAAAAAATGCTGCCGAAGTATAATTTTTTTTTAACTCGGTATCACCCCAATTAAGGCAATAATGCCAGTAAAACACAAGGGGTTACAAGAATTAAAAACAGAAATATTAACCCTAGAACACTAACTATGGGTATATAGTATCCATCGCAAATTTTCCTATTTTTAATTACAATTTTCAGTACCTGATTTTCTTATCTAAATAATACGTTTTTCAGTTCCTATTAATGTTAACTCAAAGTACAAAGTTTGAAGTGCTTGCATGTAAAATATTTCAAATAAAGATTTATATTAAATTTTTTTTTTGATATTTTCACAATCGGGTATGATATACCCATGGTTAGTAGTGGTGTATTTTTAATTGATGGTTAGTGATCTAGGGTTAAGGATGAGCAGAAAGAGAAGAGTAAGTAGGAGGACAGCAGATAGCGATTGACATTGCATTTAAATTTTTGCAGATTAAAGTTGACTAGAAAACATGGAGCTGGAAGGGGCTTCCACAAGCGAGAAGTGCGAGAGAAGAAACTGTTACACCATATAACCTACTGCTGCATCTAGCCAGCTTAACTGTAAATTGATGAGATCTTGACGTCAGAGTCTAGTCAGTCAGTTATGTGCCATGCGTGATACACGCTTAGGCGATCATCTATCTTTCGATACATGACTGACGAGGTAGATTTTTCTCGTAGTAGGTTGCCATTTCTTTCTGCGGTAGACCAGTTGCCATCCAAGGCTATAGAACCCGGTCTGTCCAGTTATTTACCCATAGCTGGGGGTAGAAGAAGAGGATTCATACCTTTCCCAGGGGTATTAGCACGTAAGTGAATGTAATGGATTCGACTAGAATTCGAACTCGGCTCTCCAAATCCTCATTCACGAGAGCCGAGTTCGAATTCCAGTCGATAGTACTGCGTTAAAATTTGTAAAATCTAGGTACCATAGCGAACAGCTCATCCGAACAATTACCATGAAAGTATTTATAAAAAAAGACACAGGACCTGGGCCTTTTCACACCTGTTAGAGGAACCCATCCTTGATTGGCCATGTCTTCAGGCATGAACCAGGACTTTCTCACTCCTACTGGAGGAACCACTCCCTGATTGGTTATGTCTTCAGGCATGGACCGGGACTACTTCACAACAGCAGGAAAGAAAGTACCCAGAAGAGCGAAAAAAAAAAAAAAAAAGCTGTAAGTAAAAAAAACTCCCTGTTACCCCTAGCCGATTGAACTGTAAAACGATGAGATTTTGCCGCTAATCTAGTACAATTTATTACTGCGCATAAATGCATAAAGTCTAGGTACTATGAAAGTATTTATAGAGCAAGCACAGGAAAGCTACGTTGCAGGAGTGAAAAAGTGATTGAAGCTGAGATGCCAGCTTAGGACCGATAACATTGCAGAATATTCTTTGGACTTTATCAAGAATCTCAAGATACATCGCAGAAGCACCAGAGCGGATATGGTAGGGATTTGTCCCGGAAAGGGACATATTTGAACGAAGTAGCTAAGTGGTTTTGGCTACTATAACCAAGTAGAATACGGTAGCAGTAATCGACTGGTACGCGTCGTAGTCGCAGGTAAGAAGTGTAGATCAATGGCGTAGTCCAATGGGCGTTGTTATAGACTTAACTCTCAGACTAAGGCTCTGACTCTCCGTTTGTATTTATGACGGACACCAGCCAATCATATTCCAGTGAGGGGGAATACAGTTGCATGCATATTCCATTATATCAGGTAGTAATAAAAGCATTGCTAAAGTTTTGCTCTAGTAATTTCTGCCATAGAAATGCTTTGTGAATGTTTTTACTATTTTAATGCATTGCAAATAAGGATGACAATGATTATTGATGACCAGACATTAATTGCAAGTAGAATTGGGTAAATACACGAACAGTTATTATGCGTTCTTAACAGACATGTCGGATGGTCCCTTCCAAAACGACACGGAAATTTACTCTCAGCCCATTCTGAATATGCCACTGAAACGGAAAATCGTTAGCTGTGCAATTTTCGACCACCTATCCGGTTATATTTGTCTCGCTTTTATTGGCATCGATTCTTCAGAATTATCGGTTGGCGTTACGGAGATGAAATTGCCAGCCTCATTACTTTATTTATACAGCCTGCTTTTATTTACTTTTATTTATTATTATTATTATTATTATTATTTCTTTTTAAAAAAAAATCTCGAACCAGAACAAAGAGTCACGCATCACTGGTTTTCACTCGTCTCTACATTATTGCTTATTTTTATCACAAATATTTCGCTGGGTTGAAACAGCGGCCAATATTCTATTCCCATGGAGATGCGACACAGCATCTGGACAGAACAAAGACAAGTGACCAACAGGGCAATACGGTAAAGAGCAGTCCCTGGCATGATTGGTAACGGTGACGCCAGTTAAATAATCTGTCATATTAACTTTATTATAGTTTTAGCCTACATTTATTTTCGGTTGTTGCGAGAGAGATTCGCCTATTTCATACATTTAATAGCACTATTCTTTCAGTAACGCTTGCCTTCATATCTGACCACTGATCAGTAATTAACTGATTACGAATGCATTTCTATAGTAACATAATAGCGGTGTTGTTTATAGTAAAATTTTAGCAGTGTTTGATTATAATAAAATAATAGTAGTTTTTCCTATAGTAAATATTGGCAGTGTTTACTTAGTAGTGTTACCTAGAGTAAAATACTAGTAGTGTTTACCTTTAGTATAATACTACCAGCATGGCCCGGCGTTGCCCGTGCTTGATTCAAAAATCGTACGACTCATACAGCAATCGCTATCACTTGACTTAAAATATTTTTGCCCTTCCTTGCCTTTAAAGGAGTGCCCTTTGCCGTGCTGATGTTGCTACATGCCTTACTTCTTTAATTTTTTCTAAGCTCTATACTAAACATTAAATCTGTTACGAAAAAGAACTAAACAAAATGAACACAAAACGATCAGCTTTAAAAAGGGACTCGTAACTGGAAAAAACGAATGAAAAAAGAATGTTAATAACAAATACTTTTTTCACAACGAACCCAGTTCTGCGGAATCAGAATCAACGTTGAGTTTAAGCAAGCGAATGAGCCAATTGGAGTAAAGTGCCATGCAGATTTAAATTTTTCACACTTGTGACGAATGCAGCAATCGATTTTTTTTTTGCATGCTAGTTAACATTCGTGTCAGTCAGCTGTTGTCTCTCATGCTGGCCAATAGAATCTTCCTGCCTATTCGTGGCAGCCAACTATTGGCTCTCACTCTGGCAAGTAGAAAGTGGCCGCAAACTACATGAAAACTGCCGTAGAAGCATGAAAAATCGATTATTTGCACTATCGATAGAAGTTGGGAAATGCAAGGCCGGTCTTGGCTTTCGCGCTAACTTGGAGCATGTGCATGTAAATTTTGGTGCAAATCCGTCAAAAATTGCGGCCGTACATTCGTTACACACACACACACACACACACACACACACACACACACACACACACACACACACACACACACACACACACACACACACACATCCTGCCTTTTATAGATAGAGATTAGTACCTTTCTATAATGAAACATTAGCAGTACTAACTATAATAAAATATTAGAATTATTTTCTACAGTAAAATATTACTAGGCTTTATCTATAATAAATTTTTAGCAGTGTTAATATTTAACAGCCCCCCCCCCACGAGGTAAGTATGTGACACAAGGCCAAGTTTATCGTGGGTTCTCCGAACCCGTAGACTTGGCCAAAAATATTCCCTTAGAAGTAGCATAAACGGGTTCAGGGTCTGCCTACCTACCCGGACGAACCTTTACCCTTTGGCAAATCCTCGTCCGGGTTGCTCTCTGCCCAAGGCAAAGAGTTCGACAGCAGCTGCGAACAGTCAGATCCCGATAGAACAATCTATTCGACTGTTTCCCCAATGTTTAGCAGTGTTTGGTTACAATAAAATAATAGCATTTACTATAGTAAATATTAGCAGTGTTTAGTTATAGTAAAATATTAGCAGTGTTTAACAATAATAAAATATTAGCAGAATTTCTATAGTAAAATAATAGCAGTGTTTACTATAGTAAAATATTAGCAGTGTTACTACATTAAAATATTAGCAGTGCTTTCTATAGTAAAATATTGGTTGCGTTTCTACGATGGGCAGCAATAAGAAAATCTTAAACTTTACATCTTG